CCTGCTGAAGATGCTCACAGATAAGAATCTATTAGGGTGTTAGCAAACTGGCTTCTGGATTTATACCTTTATTTCATAGCACAAATATAGAATGTGTGCTTTAGAGGATATTATACAAGCTTTATTTCATTAGTTATACAGAAAGTTAAGGATAAAGAATTTTTACTGTTAACCTCCAAGCTGGATGTCACTGTAGGACACACACCAACTGATGATCCCGTCTGTCCAGGTTCTTGGTATGAAGTCTAAAGTAGATGAACATTTCAATATACCCTTAGGGGGATTCTTATCATTTGACATAATAAACCTCCATAATGGGTCCATCTTTTTCTAATCAAATATAAAAATGTGATGGATCAGAGGGTCTGTTAAACTCCCTGGTTTGGGTAATTTAGTTTTGTTTTCATTCAGCAAATATTCGCTAAGCCCTGTAAGTTTTAGCGCTGAGTGAGACAGTATTCTAGGAGACTTAACTTTGCATCATCAAAAATCTTTCCTGGAAGCCGCTGGTATTCAACTCACAGCCTAGGCCATTCCCCACACTCTGACTTCTTGGAGCACTCACTGTTAATCAGCTAACAGTACTAGTTCTGGCACTTACACATGCTCTCAAATGTGTTTTCTTCTCTCAGCTTCCTAACCGTGACATGGTTAAGACCCTTCCTTCAGTCTGTTCCCACTTCAGCCTCGTGTACACATTGCAGGACAAAGGATAATCTATAAAAATGCTTGTTGTGACACTGTCTCAATTTCAAAATATTCCATTATCATTACTTTAAGAAAGAAGCCAAACTCCTTGTGTGACATACGCGTCCTACTACCCGTTGCTGCCTGGTATTCCTTACCAGTATTTCCTCCTCATTTATTATGTGCTCTAGGTTAGATATATATCTTAAATTAAAAAACGAATGAAAATCTTTCAGTCTATCTCTAAGAGATCTCAAGTTCCTTGTCTGCTTGACTATTCAAGATACAATTCAAAGGCACACCCACCCCCAACACTTGGAAAGCTTCTTGAATCATACCTGTTAATGATCTGACCTCTCTGTGCAGTTAATCTAACTTTAAAATACTTTTATTTGTGGCACTCATGCATTGTAAATTTTCATGGGTCTGTTTCATGACTATACTCCAGGAGAGACAGAACACATATTCTGTCAACTGTATCTCATCCAGTGTTGAGTATGGTGTCCAGCCCCTGGCAGCTGCCCTGTATGTGCTTTTGGAGAAAGTGTGATTGGAGCACAGGGGGC